ATTGAAATTTATATAAATTTGAATTTTTTCCCTCCCTTTTTCCCTTCCTTTTCCTTTTCCTTTTTTTTTTTTTTTAGTCTATGAAATTTTTTTCCGGAAATGAAAAAAAAAAAAAAAAAATTTTTTTTAAATCTTTTCTTTTTTCTCTTTTATCAAGTTCCGTTTTTTTTTTTGTCGGGAAAATAATAATAATAATAATAATAATAATATTTGTCAAAGGTTTTAATTACCGATTATAAATATTATTATTGACACGTAATAATAATAATAATTATTATTATTTTTAACCGACGGAAGTGACGTCGATTATCGATTTATCGATTATTTCTTCCTTCTTATTGTTTGATCTTATTTTTTTATTTTTTGCAACCTTATTTATTTATTTTTTAAATGGGAAAAAATTTATTAAAAAAAGAAAACATGGAGGCTAAAATTCCTGGAGAAGTTTTTCCTTTTTTTTTGCTTATGCTGGAGAAAGTTTTTCTTTTTTACTGGAACTTAACTTATTCTCACTCTATTTTCTCACTTCCAAAGCAGATGCCCTCGTCTATTTCAACTACTTGTTCTTTTTTTTTTTTTCTATTTCTATTTCTATCTCTATCTTTCTTTCTTATTCTTCTTATCTCTCTCTCTCTCTCTTTCAAATCTTTTCTTTTTCCTTTTTTTTTTGTTGTTGCCTTCGTTTCGTTTGTACATCTCCGAGATTAATTTGATTTACTTTTTAGAACGCAAAAGTGATTTCTTTTGTTTTTTTCTTTCTTTTTTCTTTCTTTCTTTTTCTTTCTTTTTTTTTTCTTTCTTTCTTATTCTTGTTGTTTTTTCGAATCTCTCAATAAATTTATAGAAAATACATCTGGTCTTGGGTGTTTCGTACCGTAAATAAAAAAAAAAAAGTTCGAAAGTGATCCTTTTTTTTTTTTTCTTTTTCTTATTTTAAAAAATTCCCTTTACTTTGAACTTTTTGTTTTTTTTCTTTCCTTTTTTCCTTTTTTTTTCCTTTTTTTCCTTTTTTTTCTTTATTTGTTACCTTTACTCTTTTTTTTTTTTTTTTGTTTCGGACAGGAAAATTAGTTATTTTAAAGATTTTTTTCGACTCACTTGAATTTATGTAACCTTTTTTTTCTTTTTTCTTTCTCTTTTTTTTTCCAGTCAGGTTTATTAGTCTGGAATAATCTAATTGAATTAGTAATTGATCATTATATATATTTTTATCTTGTTGTTGTTTGTTGTTTGTTTTTGTTGCTGTTGTTTTTTTTTTTTTTAATAAAAAACAAGATAATGTTCTGCATAGAAATTTCTTCGTTTGTTTTAAGAGAGAGAGTGAGTGAGAGAAAAATTCACTTCTTAATTTTCCGGAAAGAAATTTTTTTTTAGGTTTTTTCTTTTGTAATTTTTATTAAAACATTAAGGCGAGAGATAATGATAATAATAATAATAATAAAAGGTTTATTTAAACCTTAAAAGGTTCGAGTCGGTTAAAAAAAAAATTTTTTTTCCCATTTTTTTCTTTTCTTTTTTCCTTTTTTCTGAGTTTAAACAATTCAAAAGACGGAAATAGGTAAAAGAAAAATAATACTACTACTACTGCCACGACTAATTAAATAACATTTTTTTTCATTCATTCCAATTCCCACGACGACGCCGATAATAATAATACTAATTTTTTTTTTTAAATCGGTCCAAATTTTTTTTTTTTTCAACCGAGGTAAATAAAATAATTTCGAAAACCCTTTTTTTCCCACTTCTCTCTCTCTCTCTTTTTCATCTTACATTCCCAAATTCTTTCATCTCCCCCCCTCTCTTCCCAATTTTCCGTATCCCCTAATTCTCGTTCGCATTTTTTTTTTTTTTCATTTTACGGGTTTAATGAAATTTTATGCCGCGAAATGTCAACATTTTAATGAAAATTCAAAAAGACTTTTAAACTTTTAAGCCTTTTACTTTAATTTTAAATAAAAACTTCTTTTTTTTTTCCTTTTTTTTTCCTTTTATTTTCTTCCTTTTCTTTCTTCCTTTTTTTTCATGGCGTTTTTATTGGGTTTAAGAATTAAAAATAACAAAAAAAAAAAAGAAAAAATTTTATTTTTTATTTTATTTTATTTCCCTTGAAACCTAATGCATTTTTATTATTATTATTATTTAATAGTTTGGATTTCAATTTTCCCGCCCTTTTTTTTATTTTTAAATTTATTTACTTGTTAATAATAATAGCGGTGAAATAATCGATTTTAATTTTAATAAAATAAATAAATAAATAATAAATTTCGATCGTATCGAGATTTTTTTATTGTTTTTTATGACGTCATATTGAACCGTTATTTTTTTCCCGATCGGAAAACATGAAAGGACAAAAAAATTACAAAAAGGTTAAATTTTTGATAATACGATAGGTTTCCTTATCAATCGGTGGGTATCATTGATAAATATTTAGTAGGGCAAAATAATATCTCTTAGTAGTATCTGTTGATAAGAGGATGGAATGGAAGGATTGGTCAAGGAATGATACAAACAAATTTCATTCATAATTCTACAATGCGATCAACAAACACACAAAAAGAGAGAGAGAGAGAAAACTGTAAAAACAAACAAACACAGAGAGAGAGAGAGAAAAAATTGTGACGACCTACAAACACACAGAGAGAGAGAGACAAAAAATTTTGTGACAACCAACAAACCGGATATCATTTTAAAAAGTATAAACTAAAGTATCCATACCGACGGAAAAAACAAACACACACACACACACACAGACCGCAACCAAAACAAAACGGAAATGATACCAGTCATTGTTGACGTAACCGGAAGTCGTGTCGCAAATATAAAAAAAAAAAAACAAGGAAAAAATTTTATTATTATTATTTTTTTTTATTCTGCAAAAATAAATTTTTTTTTTTTTAAAATTAAATAATCCACCTCTCCTCATCCTTTCGCCCCCGCCCCCGCCTCATTAATAATAATAATAATAATAAATTTTTAGTTTATTTATAAATAAATGATTCGAATTACAATTTTAATAAAAGTTTTTTTTTTTTTCTTCGGTAATAATTAAAAATATTATTAATTAATAAAGAGTTAATTACTTCTATTAATAATTTCCTTTAAGAAAAGTTTTCTTTTTTGTTTACCTTTTTCCAGTATCGGATTTCTTCGTTTAAAAAAAAAAAAAAAAAAAGGCGCGTAAAATTTTTTTTTGTTTAAACTTTTTAAAAAATAAACAAATGTCCATATTAAAAAAAAAACTCGAAGTTTACTTTAAGTAATAAATAATTAACAAAAAGTTAACAACAACAAGAAGTTGAAAGGATAAGAAAAAAGAAAAGTGGAAAAAGAAGAAGGAAAAAAAACATTTTGGCGGGAAATTTAAAAAAAAAAAAAAAATTTCGGCACTCTCTTTTAAATAGTAACGTGAACTTTGACCGAAAAAAAAAAAATTTCTTTCTTTTTTTTAAAGGAGACGAAAGGGAGGGAGGTAAGGCGGATATGAGGAGGAGGTGGAGGGGAGGAGAGGGGAGGGGAAAGGGATGAAACCTTTTTTGACTTTAATGGTAATGCATTAAATGTGGATCCTTAAAAGGTTTTTTATATATAAAATGGCCGAAAACGCGATTAAAAAAGGGTCTTTTACCCAATTAGAAGGTTTTATCTAATGATTGAAATGTTTTTCTTCTCCTTTTTTTTTTTTTACAAAAATAATTTTTAGCGAAACCCCTGGGAAAGAGATTGAAAGAGAAAGAGAGAGAGAGAGAAAATAATAATGAATAATAGTAGTAAATTAATAAAAATAAACAAAAGAAAAAAAATTTTTTTTTTTTTTTTAAAAAAACCCGACGATGTTCCCGCCATGTTTTTTTTTTTTTACATGATAATAATAATAATAATAATAATAATAATAATAATAATAATAATAATAATAATATTTTAAAAAAGAAAATTGATAAGAAAATTTCTTATCAAAACATTGATAAAAATAAAAAAAACCCACGATTTAATCTTAAATATTTAAATTTTCTTGGATTTTTTAAAAAAAAAAAAATTCTCATAATTTTTCTTTCTAGAACATTCGAAATATTTGCGAAAAAAAAACGTTTTTCAATTGATTCCAGGTATCGAATATCCATAAAATATAATAATAATAATAATAATAATAATAATTTTTTTCCATCAGAGTTTTTAGAGTTACACGTGATCGGAATATTTGAAAAATTTAATATTAATTAACATTCGAGTATATTTCATTCGTTTTTATATATTTTTCCCTCGATTTTTTCCTTATAGAAAATTTTTCTTTTTCCTGGTGAGGAGAGTGGAGAGAGAGAAGGGGGGATGGTGATGGAAACGAAGGGTCGAAAACGATGACGACATATTAAAAATTTTTCCTTTTTTTTTTTTTTTTAAAATGATTTCATTCCTTTGAGTACTATGGAAAGTTTTTTTTTTTTTTTTACATTTTGTAAAATGTATTAAATTAGTCATTCGAAAAATAATAATAATAATAATAATAATAGTAGGAGAAATGCATCATTCATTTGTAATTCACCCTTATTTATAAAATGGGGAGAGGGGAGAATGTAATGCATGAGATAAACCCCTTCGAGTGTGTAAGATTTATTCATTGCCTCCTGAATTGAGTAAAAAAAAAAAAAAATTTTTTTTCTTTTAGGACACATTTTAAATTAATTAAAATTTTTTGTACGACTGATACGAAGAGAAAAAATCGATAAGAATTTTTTTATTTATTATCGATTTGTAAATATTTTCCTAATTATTATGCATGAATTTTTTTTTTTTTTTGCCCAAGCAAATTATTATTATTATTTTTCTCTCTCTCGTCGGTAAGAGGGGGGGTGCCGGTTGGAATAAATAAAAAAAAAATATTTATTACTTACTTCTGGTTTTATTTTTTCACGAATCCTTTTGAATTATTAACGAGTCACGTTTAAAAAATTACAAACGAGAAAAATAAAAAAAAATAAAAAATTGTGTTTTTCTTTTAGTTTTGAATGAATCAAAACAAAACAATAAGTAAAAACGGGGTTGGTTTGAAAACAATTAACAGCGACATCTATCATATTAATAACAAACTAAAATAAAAATTTTATATGAAATTAGTTTCTTAATCCGCCGACGCCGACGCTACCGTCGATTGCCATTTAAATTTTAAAAACCTTTTCTCACTGTCACGTGTTTTTGTTTATTTTTTTTCAAAAAAGTAAACAAACGACTTAATTAAATATAACGAAATAAAAATTTCTTTTGTTCTTTTTTTTTTGTTTTTTTTAAATCAAAAATTTTGCGTAGATTATTAAAAAACTTACAAAAAAAAAAAAAAATACCTTGACTTACTTTATTTATCTATAAATAAAAATAAATAAAAATAAATTCGGGGAGGGCCATCAAAGTTTAAAAAAAAAAAAAAAAGATAAAAAAAAATTTTTTTTTGTCGAAAATCGATTTTGTAACTTATTGTTATTGTTTTGTTTTAAGGGTTGATTTTTCATTCGTAAACGATTAATCAACGTTTTTTTTTTGTTAAAGAGAAACAAAAACAAATAATAATACATTTACGACAAAAAAATATTCGATTGGTTTTTTTTTTATCATTTTAAAAATCGGGGAATTCCCCTTGCGAAAATAAATAAATAAATTTCGAGTGCGTAATCGATAGTTTTTTTTTTAATTAATAATTATATTGATATTAATTTAATCTATTAAGATTATTATTAAGTGGACGACGCTGATTAGAATTGAAGAAAAAAAAAAAAAAAGAACAATATAAATTGTGATTTTCACTTTAATTCTTCACTTTACATTCTCCCGAGGAAGAAAAATGTTTAAAATCGTATTTGCTTTGTTTTTAGTTTTCTCCCAAGTTTTGGGTAAGTTAATTAAAATTATAAAATTTTTTTTAATAATAATGATAATATGAGATGAAGGGAGACGAAGGAAGACGAGGATTTGAAATTTGGTTTTTTTTTTTTTTTTTGTAAAATTTAGGAGCACCCAAAGTTGATTTGGACAAAAAAGGAGGTTTCATTCCACACATTGTCGGTGGTACTCCATCAAAAGTTGGCTCCTACCGTTTTATGGTCTCATTGAGACACAAAGCTACCGGTGACTTTTTCTGCGGTGGATCTTTGGTTGACCAACAATTCGTACTTACCGCTGCTCACTGTCTTTTCAAGTAAGAAAAAAAAAAATAAAAATTTCCTCGTTTTTTCTTTGTCGCGAATTTTATTTATTTATTATTTTATTTTTAGCCCCAAGGACGTCGTCGTTGGTGTCGGACACGTTCACTTGGACAACCAAACCTTTTACGAAGTAGAAAAAAACTTCCCTCACCCAGACTACCAACTTCCAAGCACCAACAATGACATCGCTCTCATGAAATTGAAAAACCCCGTACCACTTTCATCCGAAGTTGAAGTTATCGAATTCCCATACATGAAAAACGCTGATAACAGAAACGTTACCGCTTTGGGATGGGGAAGACTCGTAAGTTTCCCGACTCCCACTTTTCTTTTTTTTCAGAAAAAAAAATTGATTTCCGGTTTTTAATTTTTTTTCTTTTTTTCTTTCTCCATTCTAGGGAGCAAACGCTCCAATTTCAACCGTTTTGATGCACTTGAAGAAAAAGACTCTTGACAACGAAGAATGTCAAAGAAGATTTAAACCCAACGGTTCCAAACTTCACCCCGGACACATCTGTTTGGGAAGCACACCCAACTCTGGAGTGTGCTTTGTGAGTTTTATAATAATAATAATAATAATAGTAATAATAATATTTTATCGGTATGATAAAAAAACTAATCGTAAACACTTTCGCACTTTAGGGTGACTCCGGAAGTCCATTGCTTCTCGAAGAAGACGACAGAAACTTCGCCGTCGGTGTTGTTTCCTGGGGTATTCCATGCGCTGTCGGTTTCCCTGATGTCTTCAGCAGAGTTTCTTACTACTCCAGCTGGCTCCAAGAAACCATGGCCAAAAACGCTTAAGTGATTTTAAGATATAACATAATTCATTCGGGGACATACTGTCCCCCAATGAAACCCCTGCCACCTTTTTTTTTATAATAAATATTATAACGAATAAAAAAATTTAATAAATGAATATTTATTAATTAAATTTTTTATTTTAATTTTCATCACGTGACGAACCTTACGAACCTGTTGAACCTTTTTTCAAACGAAAAAATATTTTCACGAATCGTGATATTAAAAAAAAAAACATTTGGATGATTCGAAAAAAAAAAAATTTAAAAGGATTAAAATGGGGAGAAGGAAGAAGAGAGGGAGAGAGGGAAGAAGGAAGACGGGGGAAAATGAGGGGGGGAATGCTGTGGAATTTTTTCAAAAAAAACTTGGCGATTGATTTAAAGGTAACGTCGGATGAATTCGAAAAACAAAAAATAAAATCCGAATCGGTAAACGTGTAGTGTAAAGAAATTATAATTTTTTTTTAACAACAGCAACAACAGGAAGAATTAACAGCAGAAGAAAATTTAAAAAAAGCTAAAAACGTTTAACTTAATAGTTTCTTAGGGATCATTAATTTTATAAAGGATTTTAAATATTAAACGAATGAGAATTTGAGAGAAAAAAAAATTATAAATGAAAATTTAAAAAAAAAAAGAAAAAAAACAGAATTTTTTTGTTTCATTACACACACACACAAGCACACGCACACCTAAACTGCTGGAATTCCAAAAAGGGAGAGAGAAAGAGAGACAAACTAATTTCAAACCAGAACATATTTAAACAAACATCAAAAGAAAAAAAAAAAAACGTTTTGTTTACACCCATATAAAAAAAAAAAAAAAACGTAGTTTGTTCAATTATTTTCTGTTTGCATTTGGTTATTTTTTAAAAAAAAAAAAAAAAAAAACCTTTCGGCCATTTTGTTTTTTTTTTCTAAATTTATATTCGATTAATATTTTTTTTTTTTTTTGATTTTAAAACTTTTTGTCATTTGAAAACAACCCTTCGTCACAACAACAACAACAAATTCAAAACACCATTAATGTGTTTACATTAGTATTTTTTTTTTAAATGGAGGGGTAAATAATAATAAAAAAATTTTTATTTACGTTTCAAATCGAAACCAAACAAACGCACCATCATCATCATCATCATCATTATCACCGTCATTCTCACCGTCACCATCACAATCCACCTCGAGGCAATCAGTCAGTCATAATTTAATATTCAACTCGTTCGTTTCGAACAATTTTCTTTTTTACGAAAAATTCTATACAAAGAGAGAGAGAAAGGGCAGGAGAGAGAGAGAAAGAGAGAGAGACAGAGAGAGAGAAAGAGAAAGAGAGCGTTTCTGTTGTTTCATTCGCTGTCGTAACTTTAACTTCTTAAACTTCGTTCGATTCATATTAAAACGTGAATAATATTTGCAAAAATAAATATTTGTATTTTAGGTAACTTATTATTATTAATAATTTCCTTATTCGTGTTATTATTATTATTATTATTATTATTATTATTATTATTATTATTATTCTTTCGTAAAATATTATTTATTAATTATTTACCCGCTTTCAAAAAAAAACCTGTAATAAATTTACAAAAAAGAAAATTTTTTTTTTTTTAAAATTCACGCTTGTTAAGTTGGTAATAATTTAAATTTAACTCCAGGCTACCTAAATAAATAAATTTACCGTTATTCCCGTTTGTTTGTTTGTTTGTTATCGATATTAAATCATCGATTATTAATATTATTTTTTATTTTTAAAACAACAACAAACAAACAAAAATTTAATTTACCTTAAACTTTTTTTTTTTAAAGAAATTGTTTAACGCGTTTGTTTGTACGTTTAATTAAAAAAAAAAAATGGGAAAAAAATCGTTTTATTTGGAGATTCATTATTATTATTATTATTATCATTATTATTATTGATAACGAATTTCGATGATGATGATGATGATTATGACATTTTAAGCAAACAAAATATAATGAATGACAAATCAAAAATTTAAACTTAAAAACTTAATCTATTATTATTATTAATATTAAGTGGACGACACTGATTAAAACAATGTTTGAGAGTATATATAAGCGGGACGACAACTGGAATTGTTTGTTTCAGTTGTTTGTTTGCTTCGTTTGTTTCGTTTGTTCGCTAAAAAAATGTTTAAAATTATTTTTTTATTCATTTTTTTTTTGTTTTCTGAAATTTCTGGTAAGAATTAAATTTTTTTTTTAAAAAAATTGTTTTTAATATTTTAACAAATTTGAACATTTTTTTTTTGTCGTCAAGGTTCAAGCGTACAACCACGTGTTGTCGGTGGCGTACCTGTACAAAATGGATCCTATCCTTACGTGGTATCGTTAAAAAATAAATTTAATGGAGATTTTTACTGTACTGGAACTTTGATATCGAATAAATTCGTATTGACGACGGCACATTGTTTAGCGCCGTAAGTATTTTAATAATAATAATAATATTGATACACTTAAATAATTATTCCAGTAAATAAAATTTTTTTTTCCGTTTGTACAGACCGAAATTTATGGTTGTTGGAATGGAATCCGTTGAATTGTCGCAGCAAAAACATTACGAAACGGATAAAAATTTTCCATATCCAAAATTTGATTATTCTGTCATTAATGAAGATGACATAGCACTCATACGTTTAAAAAAACCTGTTGAATTTATAAAACCCGAACGCTATCCATATTTTTCTTACGATAAAAATGACGAGAATGACTTAAACGTTACGGTTTTGGGATGGGGACAAACGGGTAAAGAATCCCCGATTTCATCCACGTTGTTAAAACTGGATAAAAAAACGATGAACGATGGGGATTGTGAAAAATTTTTACCGGAACAAATAAATGTCGGTCCTGGACAAATTTGCACACCGACATCTACCGATTCTGGAATGTGTTACGTAAGTTAAACACCCAGACAATAACTGGAAAAAACAATGAAAATTAAAAAAACTAACCTTTTGATTTTTTTTCAAGTTGGATTCTGGAAGTCCTTTGCTCTTGGAAGGAAACGATAAAAATTACGTCATCGGTATTTCATCCTGGAGTCCGAAACCCTGCGGATTTGGCGTTCCAGATGTTTTTACAAAAGTTTCCTATTATTCCGATTGGATCGAAGAAACAATTAAAAACAATTAATATCATCATTATTATTTTTATCTAAATTTTACGACGTCAAATATTTTACGTTCCATAAAAAAAAAATTTATTTCGATTCGATGATAATAATAATATTATAAAAAAAATTTTTTTTTTTTTAATTGTTTGATCCGTAACAAAACAAAAAAAATTTTCCTGGAGAAAATAACGAAATTCTCGCCCCCGCTTGAAAATATTCGTTTATCCGCAAAAACACATAAAAAACCTCCCCAACAGCACCAGCAACAGCAGCATAAATTTTAAAAATCTTTTTTCTCTCTGTCTCCCAATAAATAAATTTTTAACGGAAATATTAATAATAATAATAATAATAATAATAATAATAATAATAATAATAATAATTATTATTATTATTATTATTATTATTATTATTATAATAATTATAATTATAATAATAAACCGATCAAAAACTTGGAGGAAGAAGAAAAAAATAAAAAACAAAAAAATTTTTTTTTTTCTACGACAGGAAATCGATATAAATCGATTTTTCCCCGCTTGCCCACTTCCCTTTTACGAATGAATTATTACGTCACACGCGATGATGATAATAATAATTATTTTGTTACCAAGGAAATAAAAATTTAATAAACCGGATGTTACAAAAAAAAAAAAAAAGGTGAATTGATTCGTTCGTACTCATCGTCGCACTCTTTCGTTTGCTCTCTGTCTCTCTCTCTCTCTAATTATTAATACGTAATGTGATGATGATGATGATGATGATAATGATGTAAAATTTGAGAAAAAAAAAATTTAAATTTTGCGATAAAAAAATCGATAGGGCCCTAATTATTTTCACGATTTTCATGTATTCCGTATGTATATATACTTCGTTTTAACTTCATCAATTTCACTTTTTTACTTATTATCGAACCGTGAATAATAATGTATAAAATTTCTATTGGATTTTTAATTTTTGCTGTCGCTCAAGTTTTGGGTATGTTATTAATTTTTTTTTTAAATAAAATTTTCCTGGGTTTTAAAAATTAAATTTGATTAAAAATTTTTTAAAATAATATTTATATTCGTTAAATTGATTTTCTCATCAACATTATCATCATTATTATTACTAATTCCGTGTCGTTTTTATTAATGGATTTAACCGGCGGTAATGAAGTTGAATGATAAGTTATTAAACGAATTTTTTTTTATTTTATTAATTAATAAAATAAATTGTTGTTGTTGTTGTTGTTGTGGATGTGGCGTCATTCACTCATTTAATTCGTACTTGTTTATTATTATTATTAAATGTGTTTTGATAACGTCTTATCAGTTTATATATTAACCCTTTAATAAATTAAAAATGACGTCATTTGTATTTATTTTTTTTTTAAATTACAGGTAGGCCACAATATGAAACACTTCCGCTCATTCTCGGTGGTACCGTTGCTCCCGAAGGATCATTTCCGTTTGCGGTATCAATAAGAGAAAAAGATACGGATAAATTTTTCTGCGGTGGATCATTGATAGCAAAACAATTTGTCGTCACGGCAGCACACTGTTTAGATGAGTAAGTTTTATCAAAACGTGATGATAATGATGATAAGAAAAAAAAAAAATTTTCTCGTTTCCTATCGTTGACATAATTACAAAAAAAAAAATTGTTTTTAATATCAGAGCACACGAAATGATGATTGGAGTAGGATCAGTAAAATTATCCGAACAAAAATTATACAAAGCCGAAAGAATTTTCCCATATCCGGATTACCAACCACCGGAAATACTACACGACATCGCATTGATTAAACTTAAAAAACCAGTAGAACTTTCTCCGACGGTTCAATTGATCGATTTTCCATACACGAAATACGCCGATGAGAAAAATGTCACCGCGTTAGGATGGGGTCAAACCGTAAGTCGATCGAAAAAAAAAAAACCAATTCTCCAGAACTTCTGGATTCGATCCTGAAAAACTTTTTTTTTTTTTTTACAGAGTACAACCGACCCGACAGTGCCGTCTCTATTGTATTTGGAAAAACACACCATCAATAAAACAGAATGCGAAAGACGATTAAGTAGACACAAAACGAAAATCGCTCCTGGACAAATTTGTTTAGGAAGTACCGTTAATTCTGGAATGTGTTACGTAAGCGTTTTTATTTTTTAAAAATTTTCACGCTCGCGAAAATGACAACAAAAAAAAAATTTTCATGTTTTTTCCTTCACAGGGTGATTCCGGAAGTGCTATGCTCTTAGAAGAAGATGGTAAAAATTATTTGGTCGGTATTGTTTCACAAGGAATTCCATGCGCTGTCGGTTATCCAGATATTTTCAGCCGGGTTTCTTATTATACGGACTGGATGAATGACGTCATGGCTAAAAATTCATAAACGATGATGATGATGACGACACACAATTAAAATAAAATAAATAAATTTGCGCCAAAATAAAAGAAAAAAAAATTTTTTTTGTTTCTATTTTAACCTTTCGAACATAATTCTCCAGCGGTTTTTATTATCCAGAAGGAAAGTGACGTTTTCAAACGTAATTCAATTAATAATGATGATAGATTTTTTACGACTTTACGACAGGACACCGCTTTTAAACGTAACAACAATAAAAATATTGAATTAACAAACGACGACTGGGTATTAAATGTAAAACAAACTCGAAAATGGAAAACGATACGACATATCAAATGAACAGGTAACAAACAAACAAACAAGCAAACAAATATATAAATAAAAAAAACAATTTTCTACGACGTAAACAAAAAATTTTGGAATTTGCAAAAAGAAAAAAAAAAAACTTTTTGTTGTCGCACAATAAAAACGCGACATTTTTACGTAAGATTAAATTTTTCTTACGTTAAAAAAAAAAAAAAAAAAAAAAAAACGAATGAGAAAATAATAATAATAATAATAAAGAGAAAGAGACAGACAAGAAGAGAAGAAGAGATGTTGTTTTGATTGCAACGTGAGAGAGAGAGCATGTAACAGTGCTCCAGTTGTGTGTTGGACGTTGTTCGCTGTGGTTGTTGCGTGTCGGATTTTTTTTTTCTTTCTATTTTCCTCTCTCTCTCTCTCTCACTGTTTTTCCTTTTTTTAACGAATTGACTTTCGACCGATCGGCAGACACGTTGTTGTTGTTTTTTTTTTTTTATTTGTTTGTTTCCATTGTATTTGTTTTGTGATTTTTTTTTTATTAATTTCCACAAAAAAAAAAAAATTAATAATTAAACAAACGGAACGAAAAGGTAAATTATAATTATTATTATTACTTATTCTACCCACGAACGCCATCTTATTATTATTATTATTATTATTATTATTATTATTAATATTAATCCGAAATTACTTTTTAAACAAAAAAAAAAAAACATTAAAAAATGACAGATTTATCATTTTACGTAAGCTAAACACTGATCGTAGTCGGATTTTTTTAAAAATTAATTAAAATTATTCATTTTATCTGCTGACACTTTTTATTTATTTATTATTATTATTATTATTATTAACAAAATTTTATGTATAAAGTATACATATTTAATTGCTTTGTATATATACATTTACGTCGTTTTAATTAAATTATTATTATTATTATCGCATCATGTTTTTTTTTATTGTGAGTTTTTTATTAAAATTTATTAATTACCGTAATAATACAACCAACAACCGACAACCAACAACCGTCGTTTAAAATTTTTACATTCGTTTTTTTTTTTTTTAATTTTATTACCGTATCTGTTTTTTTTTTTTCCTCTCACGAATACGACAATAATAATAATAATAATAATAATAATAATAATAATGTTTTTGTGTGACGTCATAAAATAATATCGTTGAACCGATTGACAATTAAATAAACAAATAAATAAATAATGATAATTATTTGTTATAAAAAAAAAAAAAAACAAAAAAACAAAAAATTTTTTATCATTTTTTCGTGTTAATAAATTGTTTGTTTGTTTGTTTTGTTAGTTTAAGGCCGAGGACGTTTGTTATTAGTGTTGTTGACATGTCACGTGACAATAAATTAAATGATTCCTTACGGATGGCAATTTTTTTTTAATGATTATATTTAATTATTGATAAATAAGATAAAATTGTGACGTTGTTTTCGATATCTGGAGAATTTTTTGTTGTTGTTGTTGTTTTTGTAAAAAAACCGAACCACGTGCGTGAATGATAAAAAAAAAATAAAAAAATCGATAAAGACGTGAAAATTGTTTTTTTATTTTAATTTTTTTGGCTGTCGTTCAGATCTTTGGATTGATTTTAAAAAAAATATATATTTGACTTAAATTAGAGCAGATAAGAAAAAAAAATTGGATTGATAAGAAAAAAAAAAATAAGGTGTTTGTATTATTGATAATGAAAAATTATCGATCCATTTAAAAAAAAAAAGAATTAAACGAGAGCAAATCGTTTATTTATTCGTAGCAAAAAAAAAAAAAAAATTTAATCGTGAGTTTGTCGTCGTTTCCGATCAACGGATTATAAATACGAATCCTTCACTTTTTTTTTTTTATGTAACGCGTCCCTTTGTTTGTTTCTTGTTTGTCCGTTTGTCGTTTGACCAGCTGTGTTTATTAATAATAATAATAATAATTTTTTAATAAGAAATTAAATAACATACGAGATTCGTTCTCTACTCCCGATATTAATAAATTTTATTAAACAAGGTTCGAGATATTAAATTTTTTTTCTTTTCATTTAATCATCATCATCATCGATTTCTCATCGATCATTGATTGGTCAGTTATTAGTTCCCTTTAATTTTTTCTTTTTTAAATGCCTTTTGACGGTTCGTAATCGATTATTTAACTTTTAATAATAATAATAATAATAATAGAGGACTTTATCGTTATTTTCTTTTGTCTTAAATTACACTTTTTCTCTCTCTCTTTCTCTCTTATTGTTTTTTTTTCTCATTTGTTCCCTTAAACGGAAAAATAAATTTGAAAAAAAAAATAGACATTTCAAAAAAAATGAATTTGGCGGGAAAATCCGAAACGAAGAATTTAAAAAAGAAAACTGGAAAATTTTTTCCCCAGTTTTTTCGCCATTTTTTATTTATTTATTTTTTTTTTGTTTGAAAATTTTATTGCGTCCGTGAAAACGAGCCTTTATTCGTACCTTAAATTCATGAATTTAATATGAATCTAATTTTCTTTTTCCTTTTTTTCCTTTTTTCCTTTTTTTTTTGTTTGTTTTCAAACTTTATCCCTTGAATATTTTTTTTTTTTATTAAAAATCTCAAGAAAGAAAAAATACCTTTTACGGATAAGGAAAATCCCGATTCGATTCGATGGGATAAAATGACAAAATTATTCTTTTTTCGGGGGGGAAAATTTCGAGATAATTTTTTCCTTTCAGGTTTTCTTTATTTTATTTTTTTGTGATGAAATGAATGAACGTGATGATGATGATGATGATGTTTGAACATTTTTTAAACGATTGTATATTTTAAATAGAAAATTAAACGGGAGTTAAAGTACAAAAAGCAGATGCAAGTTAAACCCGTTGCGTGCATGTGCGTGTGTGTGTGTGTGTGCGTGCGCGTGTATACATATAAAAAACTGTGAAATTACTAAACGGATTTAACTCGGTTTGTAAAAATGGAAGTAAAATGAGTCCATTGCCTCCTCCGTGACACCTCGTTGTAAAAAAAAAAAAAAAAAAGCTTTCGGGTTAAAACCTTTCTCTTTTTTTTTTTCTATTTAAGTCACTCTCGTTCTCTCCTTGTTTATTATTATTATTATAACCGTTCGTCGTCTTTACATAAAAATCGTTTTTTTTAATGAACGAAGTAAAATCCTATAAATCACGTGTCTGAAATTTTAAATACTCCAAATTCAACCCTTAAACTTTTTCCTTTTCTTTTATTTTTAAATTTATTATTATTATTATTATAGTCGTGTCAATAAACTTTAACAAAAGAAAAGAAGTAATAATAAATAATAATAATTTTTTTTGTTTATTTAAGTTCGAAGCGATAAGCGAAACATTTTCTATTTTTTTTATTATTAACTTATGGTTTTTATCGTTTTACAATCGGAATATAATAAAAAGAATATTAATAAACGAAGTCGTAAAATGTTTACAATGATTTGAAATGATGTACGCAAGCGTTTTTCTTTTTTTTTTGTCGTACAAAAAAGAAAAGCCGGGAAATGAAAAAAAAAAAAAAAATTCGAACGCCGCATATAAAAATTCGGACGTACGCCACACACATACAAGCACACGCACCTATCGCGAGAAACATAAAAAGGTTAAGCGTGTTCATACGATAAACGTGAGGGGAACAATGTTCTTAAGTTATCGACGAAGGAAGAAAAATTCAATTAAGCTTCCGACCTGTCAGATATATATATATATATATATTAATATTATTACGAATGAGAGTTTTGATGAAAGATGATAAATAAATAAATAAATAAAATTTTACAGCAGAAGAAATTTTTTTTTTGTGTGTGTCTTCTGCTTCTGCGTCTTTGTAAACATTATCTTTAAAATATTTAAATTAATTGTATAAACGTCAAAATTTTTACATTAGGCAACAGTAAATAAAAAATTTTTTTTTTTTTAAGTTAGCAACACTGATGTTCGGGTTGTTGTTGTTGTTTATAAATTAAAATCATTTATTAATTGACGGCTTTTTGATTTGAAGAGGGGGCAGGGGAATTGGGCAGAAGCGAAAAAAATTTTATATGAATTTATAAAAAATAATGATGATGCTGCTGCTCCGTCTTTCCGTTATTATTTTTGCTGCTGCGGGTGTTTGCCGCTCTTGATTTTTTACACGGGAAAAACATTTTTTTTTTATGACGTCATATACGGCAAATTTTCTTTTTTTTATGTCTCATTGATTTTTGACTCTCTTTCAAAAAAAAAAAATTTTTTTTTTTTTTTTGCAACTTTTCCGTTTCTTTTAATGTATTAAAATGGCGGATTTTAAATTTTCATTCCAAAAAAAAAAAACATTTGGGACCGAAATAAAGTAAATGATAATAATAATAATAAATTTTTATTTTTTAATATCGATAAGTGATTTTTTTTTTTTAAATAAATTTTTATCGGGGAAAATTTTTTTTTTGGGGGTTTTACTGTCGTTTTATTTTTTGTTTTAGACAAAAAAAAAAAATAGCGGACCGTTTTTTTTTAAAGCAGAAGCTTTTTTTAATGGACATAATAATTATTTTTCACTTTTTTTTTTTTTTTTAAATTTCTAAGAAAATTATATCTATATATAATAATGATAAAGAAAAAAAAAACGAGTACGTTATTTAAGCTTTTTTTTTCTTACGTTTATTTATTACGTAATTTATTTTTATAATTCTGTTTTATGGGATAATGTAATAGCAACAGCAGCGGCAACAGCAGCAGAA